TTAATGTATTCAGTAGCATCTTCTAACGAGTCATCGCCTAAAGGTTTCTTTGTCTTTATTTGAACAATCTCTTCTCTATTATTTAGTATGGAAAACGTTAGCTTTTATGCACATTTAAGGCCATTTACAAGCTGATTACTTGAATGCGGAAAACTCATTTTAGCGAACCGCATTTTTTCCTTCAAACTTTCAAATAGCTTCTCGCAAACTCGATATTTTATTTGTTTGCCGATTTAGAAATTACAGTAGAGGAATTACTATAGGAGAGCAAAAAATTACTGTAGGAAAATTTCGGCGTTGACTGGTATCTGTTTTACTACAATTAGTTCCGTAGTTTGCTCTTGAAGGCACTTGGCTCCCTGTTTTTTTGTCTTAAAAAGCACCTTTCGCGCTTTTTTTTTTTGATCAGAACTACTGGCCTTAAATTACAGTCAAACCTCGATTTAACGATGTCAATTTTTGGTCCCATGAAAGCTGTTTACCTTATAAAGACGTTCGATTTAACGATGGAGAATCTCGGTCCCTCGAGAATCGTTAAATCGAGGTTTGACTGTGGTACCACTCACAATTCATTTTCTCAAAATACTAAATCTGAAATCAAATCGGAAAATAGTAAAGAAAAGTTATGGCATTTAAAAGTTTTCGGCGAAATGAGCGACAATCACTTCCAAAGAGTACCAAAGAGTCCCATGAAAGCTGTTTACCTTAAAGACACTAGAGACTTTGCACTTCCAAAGAGTACCAAATAAAAGATTTGACAAGCACAATACTTGCTAATTTAAAAAAAGTGTTTGCGCTTACCCAAAAAGTTCGGGTAGATGTTTCTCAACGGCTGAACGCTTAACTTCGCCTCAAAAATGTCGTATTTGTTCATAAATAGGACAACCGAACAATCGCGGAAGTGAACGTTCCTGACCACTTCTTTGAACATCTGAAAAGAGATCAAGGGATTGATTCAAAATCTCTAAAGTTTTCTTCTTTAAAAATAAGTTTATTAAAGTTAGATTTCTCGTTTGTGACACTATTTTTCATTGTCTTGATTCCCCCACCAATGACTCCTCTTCTGGATCTCTTAAGTCATAGTCAGAGATGGAAATGATAAAAACGATCAACAGAACATCATCAAAACAATGAATCCATTTCCTTCTCTCTGTTCTCAATCCACCAATGTCCGCAATTCTGAACGAGAACGATTTCTTACAAGTAACGTATGTAACTCACAAAAACTTGCACTTTTTATAAAAGAACTCGATTTGATTGATGCCGGTCGTTCGACATCGACAATGAATAATGTCCTCATTTAATGGCTCATACTCATCCAAAGAGATACGATCAAGGGAATCGAGAAAACTAAAAAGATCAAAAATAAGAGGAGATCCTTTATTTAAATCTTAATTTTCCTTGCACAGGAGCAGCAAAAACGACCGTAAATCACCGGCAAACATGGGATTCTACAATATTTTAAAGCTTTCTAGAAGCTTCCAGAAAAAAGAGAAAGCTTCTACTAAAGCTTCTACTAAAGCGACTTCCAAAAGCTTTTACAAAGCGGATCTTTTGAAAGAAATAACATCCTAAGCCCAAATTTAAATTAAACATATTTTAAGGATCACTTACTATTTGGCCGAATCGAGCAACTCGTAGGAGAATCGCTTCTCATAGATTTTCTGCACACTCTTGCTTCCCCAAATCCGACCCATGATTCGAGAGATCGATTTCGTAAAAGACCACTAGAATAACTTATTTTTGTTCTTAAGATAGAACTTTTAGTTTTTACCTCCTCTTTCTCGCAATTTGTTGAAACACTCTCACGAAATTCAATGAATTGACAAATGTCTTCCTGGAAAGATCCGTGAACAAATTGGCCACGATAAAAAATTTACTTCAATATCAGTTTGTGGAGCCAATTGAAATATCCTCAATGCCTCGATCAGCTGAAAGAGCGAATCGACGGTGTTGTTTCGGATGTGGTGACGATACTTTGCGAGATCCTCTTGAGTAAAGCCTTTTGAGTGAAGAATGCTGGAATTGGGATCGAATATATTGTTATGCTAAAACTTTAGATTCTTGTTGTTCGGCATAGCAACTTTGAACAAAGATTCCTTCTTGAAATGAAATACATTTGCTATAAATGAAAGCGTGATAATATTCAAATTTGCTTAATTCTTCCCAACTTCTTTTCGAAAACTGATCAAAATTTCTTCATCTTAAATTTAAACATCATTTTTAACAAGTATTCTGAGTAAATAAATGTATTTTTTTAAAACTCCAGTCACCCCATTTGATTGAAAACTGTCGTCTTTCCACTGTTCTCCCCTCCCAATAGAAGAATCTTTATCGTATTCTCTTCTTTCTTCCAATCCTTCCAGTTTTCTTGATCAATATGCTTTGAACGTTGAGCATCGAGAGCCTAATAACGTTTTTAAACAAATTTTGGCAAGCTTGAGATGAAATTAATAAATGCAAACAGCAAGCAGGTAAAGATTTAGTAGCAGAGAGTAACTCAATCGTAAAATAAGCCATTCTTTCTCACCTCTTGACTTTTAACAGCACCTTTTCCCATTCAATAGAAATAAGTGATCCAAGAAAGGAGTTTAACCAACTTTATTACAAGAATTTCATTTTAAACAAATTTGTAGCGTTTAATGGTCATTTTAACTCATGATTTTTTGTGTAATTACTGGAAGCTCCCGGGGCAACCAAAAGGGTCCTTCTGATTGGAAAGAGCTATTTCAGGAAATATTTTACTCTCTTTTACTCTCTCAAAAGCGTTTCATGAATTGTGTCCTCTTTTTCATTTACTAAAATTTCAAAACTATGTTGCAATAAATGGATTCATTGTCCATGTGTTCAAAATGGATTAATTAGACGATAGAGATTGATTCATTGAATAAGGTCGACGAAATTCCTCAAATCTTTTGACGAGATCATCCAAAGCACTCATTTGGAGCGTCGATTGTCTAAAAAAGAATAAGCTTTAACTATTATCTTTAGAAGTAATTTTTAAGTTGTTCAACTAATTTGAAAAAAATCAAAGCAGAGCCTCGAATGGAAAGGAAATTGAATAGAATTCAAAATCCTCCATTCGTTCAGAACCCACAGCACAGGTCATCGCTGTTGTGCTCATAAGACAAAAGGCTCTTTTGGCTTGAGAGCTAACAAAAATTCATATGCCTTTTGGAAATATGGAATAGGTAACTTATTGTTTGGGGATTACGATTTTTGTCATTCTTTTGTCATTCTTTTTGGATACGAACTTTTTGGTGATTTAAAACCCTTCCAAAACGTTATATTAATAGTTTTGTAGCCAAAAATCACTAAACTACATAAAGTTTTTGATTAAATATAGTGCAGAGATCGGTTATAGGAGACAGACTTACTACAAGACTTTTCGACTTAGAGATAAGTGAAGACGCAAAAGTATCGTAAGAAACACTTTTCTAAGGTCGATTTTTGATGGAGAATCCGAATTTTCACTTAAAAATAGGGGTTTGCTAAAAGAAAGTACCACTTTCAGATCAGACCCCCTGATCTGATCTGATCAGGGGGGGTCTGATCTGAAAGTCGTACTTTCTCTCAGGAAACCCCTATTTTTAAGTGCATATTCGGATTCTACATGAAAATTGGACTTTAACTGAAATCCTGATTGAATCGTGACTGTGATCATAGATCATTTTAATGATTCGTGGAACTGAAAGAGAAAAAAAATAAAGCAAACTGCATACGAAATCTAAAGGTTGCGAGACGTCATTCTTTATCTACATTTGTACATTTGTTTAGCTCAAGGAATAAACAAACTTGTTGAAAAAACACCCAAAACATTTTCATTGCAAATAATGGAATGGTGATTTAGAGAGCAAACAATGCAGTATATAATTTATTAAAAACCATTTTAGTCTTTAATTATGAGTCCCGGCATAAAGTAGTATCCTGTTTGTAGCGCGTTGCAATTGAGACAATAGCAGCTCTAGAAATCACAATGTTTTATCGTTACAAAGTCTTATTGACGTCATGTCTGTGGAAACAACCAGGCCATCTCCAGCAGCTCCCCGAAGACAGCGACAAAATGGATTGGATGGCATCGATCGCTTACTCCAGTGCTTGGCGATTCACAAGCCTGGACGTTTGCGGACATTTAAGAGTTGAAAGTTGGAACCAAGTTCTGAAAAAAGCTCTAAAAGTGGGTGCTTGTGAGAATGATTCGCATCTAACTAGCTATGGATCGTAACTACAGATCACAGTTCTAATTTTAAATTCAAAAGAACCGACTGTGATTTTTAGTGAATAATTGCTTGACTTGCTTTTATTGACTGACTTTTATTGACTGCTTTTATTGACTGAATGGATCTGCAGACAGACTGAATGGATCTGTAGACTGCAGACAAGGGGACGTCGTTGTAGTTGATGAAGTTGTTGTGGTGGTTGGAGTGGTTATCTCGGTTTTAAGTGCGGTAATTTTCGGCCGAGTTTTCGGCGACGGTTACAAGACTTTTCTAAACATTTGGATTTTGAATGAGCCAATTCAAATTCAGAAAAGCAAATGAGCAATTTCGAATACTCGAAAATCGACTCACTGATCAGAAATGCAGAATCATTTTTTCTCCTCACCGATAACCCAATTTAGCAAAACTTTCGTCTTTCTTTGCGTGTAAGAGAGCTCCTCGAAAGCATGGAATCTCAAATGTTTATGAAATTTCACAAACAAGCCCAGAACTATTGTAATCCTCTTGGCTCACAGTGTGTTTCTCACGAGTGACTTTCATTTTTAGAATCTTCTTGCTTTTTTAAAAAGGTTGTTTGAAGGGTTCTTTAAAACTGGAATCAGACAACGGACAGCCGGCGATGTCGATTGGTTTTTTGGGCGATTGGGCGTCGATTGGTTTTTTGAGCGATGGAGCAATCGAATTTTTTTAACGTAAACTCTTTATTGCTTTAGTAAAATTCAATAAATTGACTTACAATTACAGAAAATGAAAGGGAAAAGACGGAAAAAGAAAGCTCTAATGATAATGTCCATATTCGAGAGAATATGGTGAGTAGTAGTTGTCGTGTCCATGTCCGTAATGATCATGATAATCGTGGTGATTATCGTGATGTCCCCCGTAGTGTGGCTGATAATGGTTGTGATGGGGTTGATAGTAGTGTGGCTCATAATCTTGGGGTTCCTCCTTGTGATGATCGTACTCCGATCCGTGAGCTCCGTGTCCGTCTTGGTAGTAGCCAGCTCCGTCGTGCTCTGAGCAAGAAATTGATTTCATACCGTTTTCTAGTGCTTTAAACTGCTAATGAATATTGAACTTGTTGTTAGTTTCTTTTAAGCTTCTTTACGGATGCTTTTTTAAAAAGCCACGGTACTCCAGCTGATTTTCGGTTTACCGTAATCCTTTTAGGATTACGGTAGCTTTTGGAGTACGGTAGCTTTTGGAGTACAGTAGCTTTTGGAGTACGGTAGCTTTTGGATTACAATAATCAGATTAGTTATTTGTGATCTATAGCTAGTTTCTTTTGAGCAGAGTGCTTTCTGAAAGGCACCGTAATGCTTTTTAAAGTCAGATTACGGTAACTAGAAGCCGGTGGGGTTACGGTAACTGGAAGACGGTGGGATTACGGTAACTAGAAGCCGGTGGGGTTACGTTGACTTTAAAGCCGATGCGGTTACGGTAACTGGAAGTCGGTGGGATTACGGTAACTTTGAAGTTGGTAAGGTTACGGTGACTGGAAGCTGATGGGATTACGGTGACTGGAAGCTGATGGGATTACGGTGACTGGAAGCTGATGGGGTTACGTTGACTTTAAAGCCGATGAGGTTACGGTAACTGGAAGCTGATGGGATTACGGTAACTGGTAGACGGTGGGATTACGGTAACTGGTAGCTAATGGGATTAGGTAACTGGTAACTAATGGGATTACGGTAACTAGAAGCCGGTGGGATTACGGTAGCTTTACGAGCATGCAAAAATTATACAAAGTCGAGTCAGCTTTCAGTAGAATTCAATAGAATAACGGTAGCTTTTGATCTTTATGCTTTTTGAGATCTTTCGATCTGTTGCAACTCACTGTGCCCCTTGTCGTATGCATTGTAGTGTCGATCGTGTCCGTGATTCTCCTTGGCGTACTCCTTGTGCTCATCTCCGTGATCATGGTAGGCTTTGCCTGAAATCGCCCCAACTATGAGTAAAGTTGAAACACCACGAGTCCCACCATATTTCCCGTATCCCTCTTTGTGATGATGTCCCTCTCCATAGTGTTCTTTTCCATAATCATGCGAATCTCCTCCATATTTCTTCCCGTGTTTCTCATCTTGATGAAATTGTTCCACGTGGTATTGGGGTTGAACGAATTTGTAGTCAAAGTAGCCAAAAGATTTCGTTTTCACATCTGAAATGACTTGCAAATTTGTCAATTTAAATCTACTATATATAAAAAAGATGCCTGTCCGTCCGTTTGTCTGTACGGGCGAGTTTTTGGCTCGGCCGATTTACATGATTTTTAGTTTATTAAGCTTAAAATTCTATTTAGTTATGCATTTAATATTTCATTTTTAAAAAGAAAAAGCCATGACACAGCCGGGAGTGACACAACCCTGATCCTGTGAGCCGTAGAGAAGCTCGCTCCTAACTGCGCCACAGCGATATAGGCGAAAAACCCACCGTTAAGCGGGTTTTTCGGCTGGTATCTAATGTCTAATTCTAGTCATTTAACAATAAACCTTTTTCGAAATCCGAGTGTTCCTTGGCGTGTGTCTTTCCTCCATTTTTGTGTTCAGCTTCGTGCTCGTTTCCTTTCTTCTCGCCCTCTTTAGCGGCCGACTCGTGGTGATGTTCTGCGTCGTATTTGTCGTATCTGAAGCAGATTTTTGAGGTTTTTCAATGATGACTCATGCTTCAGCATTCAAGAGTTGCTTAGCAGATTTGTCCTAGATTGAGAATCAACTTACAATTGTCTACCGATTGTCTAGCAAAGGAATAAGCCTCTAAATTTCAGAGTCTTCGAATCCTTGCCTGGGTTTTCTTTGCCTAGAATTCTAGTACACTCAACTCTAGATTTAGATGTCTATATCAATCGGGTGTTTTTCCATTTTCTAACTATATGTTAGGTCCGATCTAGAGTGATTCTAGATCGGACGCTAGACGGACTCTAGATCGGACACTAGACTGATTCTAGATCGGACGCTAGACTGATTCTAGATCGGACACTAGACTGATTCTAGATCGGACGCTAGACTGACTCTAGATAGGACACTAGACTGATTCTAGATCGGACGCTAGACTGATTCTAGATCGGACACTAGACTGATTCTAGATCGGACGCTAGACTGATTCTAGATAGGAACTTACTTTGCTCTAGATCGGACATCTGATCTAGAATCAGTCTAGATCGGATGCTTGGCCTTACTTCACTCTAGATCGGACGTCCGATCTAGTCGATCGACGTCGATCAGTCTAGATCGGACGTAACACAGACACTAAATTCATTCACTCACCCTCCATGCTCAGCCTCTTTTCCCGTTTTCTCTTTAGCGTATTCATGTGCATCATGGTGTCCACCCTCATTCGAATATTTTTTGCTCTCGTGTTCGGCTTTATGAGCACTTTCCTCATAGACTGGAGCGCAAAAAGTCACGGAAACGAATAAACACAACAAAATCGTCCTTTGTATCATCTAATATAAAAAAATTGCTTGAAAATTGAAGAAGAATAGCAGAAGAATACTGGAACTACTTAAACTTTATGATCTTACTATAAAAAAAGACAGTAAAAGCTTTATCTTATCTACTAATCTTACTGTAAAAGCTTGTAAATTGTGAAAGACTGAAATTTTTGATATATTTTCTTGTGCACAACCAATTGCTTATATATCAAGTATGTGGGGCATTTTTGTGTTCGGTGGACGGGCATGAATTTCTTCTTTTCTTTCATTTCTGATTGGATGAATGGGAAGAGGACAGGGAGATGATCGAAGGGAAAATCGAGAAAATGGAGAAAAGAGAAAAGAAGAATGGAGAAAAGAGAATTCCCTTCAGAACAATGAACTCGGAGAAGAAGAAGGGGTTTTTTTGAGTGAACGAGAGATCGCTCTGGAATGATCGTGATTTGATGGGTGATTGGGATGCTCTCATTCTTCAGACAAGACATTCAAGACATTCAGACGTTTAATCGTGAAGCTTTTCAGGCATCCATTGATGTCAGTCCATTGATGTCAGATCATTGCTGTCAGTTCATTGCTGTCAGTCCATTGATGTCAGTCCATTGATGTCAGTCCATTGATGTCAGTCCATTGTCAGTCCATTGTCAGTCCTAACCATTTTCAGGCATTAGAACAAGCAATTTCTAATGCTTTTCTAATGTTTTAATGCCAACGAGCAGATAAAATGATTAATTTTTGCTTTTAAATAATGAATTGATTGAGATTATGTAGAAAATCTCGTAAAATGTAAAGTTGAACATCTACTTGAACTTCTACAAAGACATTTAGAAGTTCAGAAAGTTCATTTCGCATTTTCTTGGTTGGCTTTGTCTTATCTGGCTGTCAGGTTTTGTCAGCTTTAAATTCCAGTAGCTTTTGAGTCTTCACTAGCTTGCACTGCCCAGTAACCTACCAGTAGCTCTAGCCTTACCAGTAGAGATTAAGTAAAACGATTTGTAGCATGTTTAATAGCTCTAACACTTTCTGTAACATGTTTAATGGTTCTGTTTAAAAGGAATTAATAGTAATCTTTGATAGATTTGATTGACAGATTTAAAATAACATTAATTCCATCTGGTAAATCTTCATTCGACAAAAACCTTAAGAGCTAATTAAGCAAGATCTAATTAAGGTTTAGCAAGATCTAATCAAGGTTTAGCAAGATCTAATTAAGGTTTAGCAAGATCTAATCAAGGTTCAGCAAGATTTAATTCAGATTTCAACTTTGAAAAGCTGAAATTATGGTTTCAACTTTGAAAAGTTAACATCTAACTCTTTTTCTCAAGTAAGTATATGTTTTATTTGTTTTATCTTTCTAAAATGATTGTTCTTCGACAGTTTCAAGTTCCACAAGCTCTAGAAAGCAGTTCAAAAGGTTCTAGCAGCAATTTCAGTTGCACTTTCATTACTCCTTTATTGAAGATCTTCTGGTTGAGCTTAAATATTGATCTTTAAGACTTTTCTTTCTCTGTACAATCTTTGCTTTCAATTCCATTTGAATTCTTCATGTTTTGTTGCATTTTTCGAAAACTGTGTTATTCATTTTCTCTCTAATCCATTGAACAAAAATCTTTTTTCCAACAGAGTTTATTTTCGACAGAAAAAGGAGAGAATTTTTTCTAGAAAAAAAACATTGTTTTTTAACAAAATTCTGGACAATTTACGGCTACACGATGGCACACGGGAATAGAGAAAAATGGAGAAGAAACTCTGAAAATGTCTCTACGTTTTACAGGAAAAGATGGAGAGAATGAGAACTTTTTCTTAGAGTGGTTTGTGATGAGAATCCGGGTGAATAATTTAGCAAGATTTCGGGATTTTGAATAGAGAGAAATAGGTGATTGAACTAAATTGAGAAGAAAGGGGGGAAAAGGGGAAATTAGAGGATCAACGTTTGGTGATGTCATGGTAAACAGTTCTGGATTGTGATGGGTGGATTTTCGAAGAAAATGTAAAAGGATCCGGCCGAGCTGGGGATCGAACCATCGGGGTCTGGCTTGAGAGTCAAGGCTCTTAGCCACTAGGCCAAGCTGCTCTGATGGTTCGCCCTCAAAAATGCGTTATGATTGTTCTCGAAAGTTTCAAAAGTTTTCAAAAGTTTCTTTAGGCTCAGCTCGGGATCGAACCAGCCAGAATCAGGGAGGTCGAGCTTGAAAGCCGAAGCTCTTAGCCACTAGGCCAAGCTGCTGTCCGTCACTAGGCCAAGTCTGCCCTCAAAAATGCCTTATCATTGGTCTTGAAAGTTTCTAAAAAATTCCAAAACACTGAAAATCCATCCATTACACTCCAGAAAAGTTAGATGAGATAAAAATTGAAGTAAACGTAAAAATAGAGAAATAAACACGACACGCGTAACTAAATACATGTTTTTCTTTCAGGAGAGAGTTCATTAAAGTAGAGGAAGACTATGGATTTCCAAAAAAAAGCATAAAAAGTCTCACAAAAGATTTTCCATTTAATTTAATCAATCAAATCAAAAAAAAAACTTTTGTGAAACGATAAAAACACAATAAACATCTCTATTTTATAGGAAATTGTCTTTTTTTTTCAGCGGTGATCACACAGTGGTTCAGAATCATTGACGAATGCCGTATATAGGAAAAAAAAACGAAAACAGAAATTCTTTAAGAAATTTTGCAAGGACCGAGTTCCGAAAAATCACAGAAAAGAGAAGAAAAAGCTTTGGGGGAACTTTGGAATGAAAGAAACAAATCAAGAATTACGCCAGATTGTTGGCGTTTCCAGGCTCCAAAATTCCCAATGGAAAGACTGCAATGAGCACAGAAAATCGGCTAAACAAAAAGCAAATGTGATATCGGCTGAATATTTGGAAAAGGGGGATGAAACGGCCGCTAGATATACACAGTGGATGGGCGAATGCCCAAAGAATAAGTTACAAAGGTCTAAAAGAAGTCCAAAAGGAGTCCAAAAGGAGTCCAAAAGTGTTCAAAAACCGGGACCTAGTTGAAGAAAATGTAAACAAACAAACGAAAAAGATATTTCGAAAAAGATATCTCTTTTTGATGTTTTTTTGGCGATCATATGCGCATGGGCGCTGCTTTGAAAGACTTAAAATAAGAGAAAATTTGTTTTGTTTGAGACACAAGATTGAGAAGCGGTGAAAAGGGGGAAAAGCCTTTAGATTGGCTGAGGGGCCGCCGGGGACATCAGTGGAGAGGGATTTGGTGGATGAGTGGATACTGTAGACTGATCTGATATGGGAAAACTTGATAGTTAGACATTTTAAGTACTTGTACTTTAAGGGCTTTGTACATTTGAAGTACTTTGTAGTACATTCTGAGTACTTTAAGGACCTTGTTCTTCAAGTACTTTATACTTTAAGTACCTTGTCCTTTAAGTACTTTGTTCTTCAAGTACTTTGTCCTTCAAGTACTTTGTACTTTAAGTCCTTTGTCCTTCAAGTACTTTGTCCTTTAAGTACTTTGTCCTTCAAGTACTTTGTACTTTAAGTACTTTGTAGTACATTTTAACTCCTGTAACCTTTGCGTTCTCACAATAGCTTACTAGGGAACTGTTTCAACTTAGCATCGAGTTAAGCTAGTCCAAAGTTTTTGCTTTTTCTTGCAAACAAGATTAGAATCCGATGCACTAGGTCTAGCTTAACTCGATGCTAAATTTAAACAGTTCCTCAGTTAGCTAGTTAGCTAGTTAGTTTCGCTATTTGTAAGAATGGTTCTTAAAGCATTGAACTATTCAATAGCCTGTTAAGCTCTAGATAGAGTGATGATAAGTTCAAGCTATTCCGTTAAACAAAGAAAATCTAGATCTAGAGCACAGCAGCAGCTCTAGAGACTGGCTGAGCTGTTACTGGAGATAAATGGAAGGCTAAGGTTGCTTTGGTGACAAGATTAATTTCTGTCTTAACCGGCAATTGATCTAGTATTCCATATCCTCAGCAGATTACGGTAACTCATCCAACAAATACCAAAAGAGTGCCAAAAAGAGAGAGATTGGCCACCCCATGGAGATCAGCGAACATCCTCGACGGCCAACACTCGCCTATGAGAATGGCTAAAATATATATAGGTAAGCTTGGCTTTTTGAGAAAAAAAAGATAGATTTTTCAATAGATTTCCATCCAAAAAGCCAGCCATATAAAACTAAAAACAAAAACAAATCGTCTACACGGTTTTTGGTTACACTCAAGTGAGAGAAGAAAGCGAACGTGACGCTTTTTCTTTTGAAAGAACGATGTGGGTATGCGCGGATCAATTTTTGGATCGAGGTGAATGGTTGAAAGAACGAGAGAAAACGATTGGCTTTTGAGAAGAGATTCAGAGAATTTCCATGCAACCAATCATTTAAATGACACAAAGATCACAAAAAAAATGGACACAAGAGAGCCAAGGCTATGCGGGGGCTGTGAAAGACAATTCGAAAATGGAGCTTTGAACGGAAAGAAAGAGATTTAGTCAAGAGTTTTGAACAAAAAAAAAGAAAGAAAAAAAATCACTAGAGAAATTAGGGAAAACTAGGGGAAAATCCAGCGGAGGGAAGAGAAATTTGCATTTGACGGAGTCTCGTGGCAGCGATCAGCTGGTTGAGAATCGGACAATGAAAAAATGCGAAAAGTTGATTCGACATTTGGCAGTATTGGAAGAATCTGAAACTTTTTGATTAGGAATAAATAAAAGTTCGATTTTCCTAGAGCTTCTAGAGTTCCTAGAGTTCCTAGAATTCCTAGGGTTTCTAGAGCTTTCCTAGAGACCATTTCCTAAAGTTCCTCGAGTTCCTAGAGTGTCCTAGAGTTTCCTAGAGTTTTTAGAGTTCCTAGAGCTCCAAGAGTTCCTAGAGTTCCTAGGGTTCCTAGTGTTTCTAGAGTTTCTAGAGCTCCTAGAGTTCCTAAAATTCTTAGTGTTTCTAGAGTTTCTAAAGTTTCTAGATCTCCCAGAGTTCCTAGAACTCCTAGTGCTTCTAGAGCTTTCCTAGAGACTATTTCCTAGAATTCCTAGAGC